GTGACGGAAAATATTATTTTGTTAATTTTCATATGCATTGGGGATCAAATAATCGAAAGGGCGCTGAACATGAAATCAACGGAAAAAAGCACGTGGCGGAAGCACATTTTGTTTTTACAAGTAGTCAAAGAAATGAAACTGCTGTATTAGCATATTTTTTTGAAGTGGCAGATAATGAAAATGCCGAATGGGGAAACTATGTTTTATATGTAAGTGATTTAAAAGAAGTAAATCAAATCAAAACATATGAAACAAACATTCAACAATTAATGGACGGCGATCAACGTGAATTCTTGCGTTATACGCGTAGTTTGGTTTTATTCAGAAAACTAAAGGACAAATAAACTGGTAATAGACTATTGTGAAATAGGCATATAATTGTGGAATAACTCAACTGTCAACACCACCGTGCACCCAAGGTGTTATATGGACGATATTCTCAAGTTCAATTGATCTTACAGCTGCAAGTTTTCGACTACTTAGACAAAATGTGTTTAAAAAATGTTTTCGTCCACAACAACTTCTTCACAAACGATTGGTACATAGAAATTATGTGGTTAATTTTTAGAAAGATAAAAATGGTTATCTGTCGCTTATAGACACTTTCATAAGATGAAACATCGACAGAAACAACTGAAGAAATAACCTGCTCACTGTAAAAGCGCCTTTTACTGGAAAAACCTAAAGCAATTGCCGCGCCAATTTTATGCGCAAAACTAATTTCTTCAGCAAAAACAGAGCTTTTTACATAAAATACTTTTTTAAAAAGCATTTTTTCAAATTTCAAATTTTCAAAAATTCAAAATTCAAATTTTTTTTTAAAGAGCATGCTAGAAAATACCGATCTCACTGATCTCCAAACCGGATGCACTGCTTATATAGCTTAAGGCTCCTAATAAAAGCTGCTATTTTCGTCGAGGGGTGTTTTCTGGAAGCCCTTCCAAAAAAACTCACGGAAAAAGTCGTTTTTTAGGGTAGATAACAAATAACGTGACAAATCACCTCCAACTATAATTTTATGCCTTTTGTTAATCTCAGTTGTTAATGTAGTCGGTAGGACTTTTGTCAGGTTTATTAATAGTTTTTTCTTTCCTTTCTTTTGTTCTTTTTTGCATTTTGGTTTGTTATTGTTTCTTTATTGTTATTGTATGTGTGTGTGAATGGTCATACCGCAAGGTCCTTTTTAGTGTCTTGTACTAGTTTTTTGCTATTAGTGTATGCCCATAATCTCTGATCGAATAAATACCGAACATTACCATTCAGAACAGTAGATGGTGTTCATAGATGATGAAATATGTGTGATACTTGACGGGTCATATGTCTATTAGATTCCTCGTGGTGGATAGTCTCTAGAAAACTTCCATACACATCTATGTGTTGATCTCTAACATCTAGTCGAAAAACAAACAAAAAGTACTTTGTATTTGTCTCGGAATCGCCTTTTCTGTCAGTCACTATCGCCGTTACAAAGATTTCTCCTCCGCCTCGTATGAGAGACCGACAGCTTTTTTTTCAGTTAAAGGTATAGCCTATGGGAACAACAGAGTCGGATTTTTAAGTTAGGTCCTACATTTTTCTACAAACAAAGATTTCTAGAAAGCCCCCAAATGATATTCTGGGTTCTTGGAATAAAACACGTATAGCTCACTTCCGAATAAAAATCTCGAAATCCGACTGTATTATGTTATTCTCCTTTATCTTCCCCACCACATGAGACAACCCTGACCTCTCTAGCTAGTTTCTCTGAGGTGAAACCTTTATTACTCCATCTACTCCTATTCGGCCTCTGATAACCCTATAACTCGAGGACGATTGTGCCTAGAGACTTGAAATTTATTCCGTAAACATCTTAGCCTATGGCTACTATTCTCTGAAAGTTTCGTGAAGGTCGAGCTTACTGTTATCAAAATACCTTTTTAGAGCGTCGGACAGACTTAAAGCAGAGATGTGTTATTCTACAAGAGCTCGATTGTTGAACTTAGATCTGGGTTTTGGTAAAGAGAAAGGTTTCTGAAAAACTTAAACCAAGCTTTTCGGATTTTTGACTTGAATCGAATGCTTATATAACTGCAAGTTTTCGAAATATAAAACTTGTTATAAACTCAAAACGCTGGATGAAAAGCCCATGACGCTATGATATCATGACCCCATTTTATTAGTCAGTCAATCCTTTAAAAAAGATCGAAATCAAAAATAGTTCCGTACAAAAAGAGAGATGTTTTTGAAAGAAGAATTTGGATGCAAAAGATCGGAAATCTCGTGTATAAAATGTAAATTTTCATGTGAAAAAAATATTGGAGTAAATAAATACTTTAGTTTTAGTGTAATTCGACCTCTTCAACAAACTATTTCATGATTTGAGGAAATTCTATAAGCGGAGGAAGTTCTGCCAGCAAAATACCTAATAAAATAATAAATAATAAATAAAATACCTAAGCAAAATAATAACGTAAATAGTGTGATCATAGAGACAGATTATAACTCTGGACCGATCTATATTGAGATTCATCTCCCACTGAAAGGTTTTTATTTATTTGCTCTGGTTTGATCAAAAGAAATTCTGTTACGACAGCAAAAAAGTTAGGGAACAGCTCAGTAATGCTCCAGAGATACACAAAACTCAAATATTTCGAAATATATAGCAGCAACAAGAATACGTACAAACGAGAAGGACGTGAGAAGCAACAAAAATAAACAGAATGAG